GTGAAACCGAAATGTGCAGAATAAAAACTACGATGTGGTGACATTGTGTGCCTTTTATTCTGCACATTTTACTTTTCCGTAATCCACGTTTGAGTTTTAACTTTTACTTTGCACATTATAATTTCACCTAATGCACAATTCATTTTCACATTATACATTCCAACACTCTAGATTCATCCTCATTTCCCTCCTAGAAGTTCTTTCTCACTGGAACCGCTCCACATACATACATGCATTCATGCACATTAACAGGGGCGGATCTAGCTTTGGAATCCAGGTGGGGCCAAAACTTAATTAAAAACGAATATTCAAAAAACAATTATTCTAGTAACAAAATCAAAGACAAAAATAAAGATTATAGGAATAAGAATTTTCATTAAAGTCAAATACAAAAACACCATAATTTTACAACTGTTCTCTACGAGTTTTCATCGATTGATATCGTTTGAAGAGCTACTTTCATTAGCTTTTTCTTCAATAGGGTTATAGTATCTCTTCATTACCTTTATTGAAAATAACGAGATGACTAATTACTACACTAATATTAATTAACTTATACTATAAATCTCTTCATTACCTTTATTGAAAATAACGCGATGACCTTTGTTAGTATTATACGGTTCGTGAATAATAAAATAATACGTTACAATTATATAAAATACGGCTAAATATATGTTTCATACGTTCGTGAAATGAATAAAGATACGAACGTGTTTTAAACGTTTCACAATTTAAAAATACGGCATATAATACATGTCTTATATATTAATTTAATGATGAGAATAAAGAGTGATTTAGCATATGCATTACATTCTTCAACAGTTTAAAATGTACGGAATAGTTTTTCGGATATACGAATTTTAATTCATAGGTACAATAAATAATAAAAATGATATTGCCTATTTGTGTAGAAGTAGAGACATATTTCTAGAGAATAGTTTATATTATTGTGACCGTAAATTTGGTGAGCCGCCATAATATTCTTTTCTTTTTGGAGTTTTGGTATGAGTGGAGAATAAGAGTAACAAAATAATAGTACAATAGTAATATAAAAACGAATTATGACTTTAAGAAGCTAATTTATTAAATCTAATGACTATTAAACAATTAACGAACGTATAAGTCATAATAATTTTTTAAGCATTATAAATAGTATTGAGCAGCTAAACATTTCACTTCATTTGTACCACTCCATTAGGTTTCAGTTTAATGGTATTTTTTAATAAAATACGTATCAATACGTACGGTACGTGTATTATACATTTTATCCTTAAAGTACGTGTATTTTTAAGTATTTTCTGAAAAATTCATAAACGGGAGTATTATACGCGAATTATACATTTGAGTGTATTATACGTGAATTATACGTGAATAAACTAACAGAGGCGATGACTAATTACTACACTAATATTAATTAACTTATGCTATAAATGATGATTATAATTTACAAGTTTACAAGTAATAATCAAATTCATATCGAGCAAAGTTGTAATTTAGTCTTTAACTTGAACTAAAAACACAATAAAATTAAAAGATTAAAAAAACTCTTAAACGCTTAGGACTTAGGCAGCAGTTCTCACTTCTCAGGAGTCAACACTCACTCCTCTGCAGCTCTGTTTACCAGTTACCACCGTCCACCGAAGAGCAGCAAATGGATGTATAATTGTCTAGTCTATACAAAATCCATATATATGATGAACAATTGAATTAAATACGGAGTGATAAATTCACAATGTTATAGTGTAAACAATTGGGTATTGGGCAGGTTACCAGGCAATATACTTAGGTAGACTGGCCCATGTTTTGATAATTTTGAAAAAATCGTGAAGAATTGAAGTGAAACCATACGGCCATACCCTAATCCGTCATTTCATTTTCATTCATTTTCATTTACCCCAGTGCTGCAAAGGCTCCCACCTGCGGTGGGGTAAGGGGGATCGGATGTACGCAGTCTTACCCCTGTACTAAAGCACAGAGAGACTGTTTCCGGATGACCCATAGTGAAAATCGCGTCCAAGATTGCATGGACTGACTGCTGCTTCATAACAAAGAAGCGCAGACAGTTTAGTGAGCCATTTTGCTTTATTACATCATAACCTCAAACCAAAAAATAATTAATCTTTGTCACCATACCCTAATCCGTATTTAGGGTAATCTTAGTGCCAATCATACAACCATTATTAAATGGAACCTTACCCTAATCCTTACAAAATTCACCCAAAATGAGTCACTACTGATATAATGAGCATTGTACATAAAATAACAGTTTACCTGTTATCCACCCCGACAAGCTTAGGACCCAAGAATTCATTGATATTCTTCACAGCATTCAAGACGTCTTTACCTCCATAAACACTCTTGTCACCAGCCCGTAGGGAATTCGTTTTTGGCCTTTGGGGTTTTGCCGAAGCAGAAAGAATGAAGCGGACTGCGGGCAGCTTGACTCTTCCCGCGCCTGCTTTTTGGGCTTGATAGTTTGTACTGGGCCTGTTTTTTTTTTAAATTGAGCCTGGGCCTGATTTTTAAACCTATATACTAGTTAAGAAAAAGAAATATTTGAGCATTGGCTTGGGCTCTCCCTGGCCCTAGGCCCAATCCACCCATACATACATACATACATACGTACATACATACGTACATACATACGTACATACATACGTACGTACGTACGTACATACGTACATACGTACATACATACATAATGAGCTTAGCTTAGCGTAACGTTGTTCTGCTCAGGTGCACTGATTCTCAACTCGGGTATAATGAGCTTAGCTTGGATGCACGATGGTGCCCAGCTCAGTTGTACTGAATCCAGTCTAGACTGTAATTTCGGGGTTCTGTTGTGATGTTGAGAATAATGTTTGGCCTCACCTTGGACCTTGGTTGAGGGCTCAACTTCGTCTGCAATTTTGGAATTCTTTTGTTAATCAAAGAATCAAGTTTGAGCTAGGCCCTTAATTGGCTAGCGAGCTGAGCTGAGCCTTGTTGATGTTGCCTTAGTCAATTGTGAAGGTTCGTTCATTATTATCTTGACCTCTGGAGATATGGGAATATACTACATCAGGAGTAACAATATACAATTGAATTTTTCCAAATGAATGACATGTTTTTACATTTCAAGTTCATATGCCCATTGTCCATCTTCCTTGGACAACTCTTCAAATTTTCACGAGGTCTTATCAATAGCGACTTGCGGTTGTAAAAAATTCAAACAAAGTAGCGCTTAAATAGGCAATTTTTAGTCATCAATAAATATGTATATACACTTGCCATTGAAGAAGGATTTTCAAAAAACTTATGTTGAGAAAAATGTCTTCACGCACAACTAGTTTTTTGTTGCCATATCAAGGGTCAAGAGCAAAAATGAGTTAAAATTTTTATTTCATTCTAAAGATCAAGGATTTTCCACCAAGATCATAATGTTATATAAAGAGACGTTTTCTAAAATTTAGAAACACAGATTTTCAAATGTTTTGTCTCTTAATCATTTTAGGTGGTATATATTCTATGTTCTTTGTTATTATACTATTGATAATAAACATTTTAATGTTTTTGCCAATGGAAATTACAAAACTCACACTATAGAAACATTATATGAATTATAAATTAAATCTCATATGGAAGTTTTACGTGGGGCAATGCCCGGGTACACAACTAGTATATATGGTAAATTTGAGTTACTGTTGTTCAATACCCGATTAAGATGGTGATGACTTTTACTCTTCTAGCCTCAATGCTTAAAACGTTCCACTTTAAGATAATAATATCCATTCAAAATTTGACATAATTACCATGGTACCATGCATCATAACCTTTAATCTCATATTTGATGAATGGATTTCATTCTCATTTCTCTCCTGGGAGACAATTCTCACATGACCATCCCCTATATATATATATATATATATATATATATATATATATATATATATATATAGGGAAGAGTTCAAATGAAAAGTGGTCTTCTTGTGCAAAGTGTAAAGTTTTCACTTTTTCATGTTTCGCTTGCACTTTTTCTTGCTTCCACCGTCATTTTGGCCGAATTTGGCCAAAATCAAAATGGCCAAAAAGTGCAACGAAAGCAAGAAAAAGTGCAAGCGAAACATGAAAAAGTGTAAACTTTTCACTTTGCACGTTAAGACCTCTTTTTATTTGAACCATCCCCTATATATATATATATAGACAAAAATATTGTTTTCCCCTTATGTACTTTTAATTATTGTACCATTTAAATAAAAGGATGTTTTATTTTATATTATCTTGCTTTTCATATTAAGTATGCTATGTACTTGCAGCTTCGTCTGACCTTGTGCATCAGAAATTATTCTGTATTAATTTCCTTTATGTATTATTTTTTGGTATCAGAAATTGCTCTCTCTCTCTCTCTATCTATATATATATATATATATATATATATATATATATATATATATATATATATATATATATATATATATATATATATATATATATATATATATATATATATATATATATATATATTAGAGATCAAATGCAAATCATGATTTATTTACTAACCTACAAGTTAATTCTTGTCTTTTATTTAACTTGTTGATTAGATTGAAAAATTGAGGGCTTATTCGTCTTTTTAGGTTTATTTTATTTTTGAAAATAAAGCTATATTTGCCACACATAATGTTGTGTTGGGCACCTGTGTTGTCCTCTCTACCTTCAGGATTAGAGAAGCTACTTTCATGAAATGTTAAGAACATTATTTGTAAGACTGTAACCCATTATGACTAGAGGGGTGGATATATTGCAAGTAATTATGGAAATAGATAAGAAACCACCTTGTAATCTGCACCATAACTTAACTATTATCACAGTAAGCGAGTATGTGCGGTTCTTCCCCGTAACGGTAGTCTTAGTCTGTTAGTTAATACAGCTGTTAGTTGGTTGTTATATCTGTTAAAACTAACTGAACTATACATGTATAAAAGAAGGTGATATCATCAATAAAATCAATTTTTGCTTGTCGTTCATTTCCGATCATCCCTTACCTTTCCTTCAGCCATTTTCATGGCGTACTTTGCTTACCTAAGCCACTACCATTAAAAGTCGAGTTAGGCTCCTGTTACATTGGTATCAGAGCAGCGATCGTGTTAAGTTGGTGTTTATCTGCATCAATTTCCGCAGTTCACTCTGGCGCCTCATTCGCGCTCAAAATCCGCCATTGAAGCTATGGAAGATCAAATACAAAATCTGGTTCAGTCTCAACAGCAATTTCAACAAGACATTCAACATCAATTTCAACAATTGTTTGGAATAGTTGTGGAGTTATAGAAGAAGGTTGAAAAGGAACCTACCGCCATTCCTCCGACGTTCAACTATAGAGAAAAAGGCGGAAATTAGTCCAGGTCGTTGGGGTATACTCCTAAGCTTGACTTTCCTCACTTTGATGGAAGTAACAGTAGCATGTGGTTAAAAAATGTAAAAGATATTTTACATTGTGTCAAACACCGGAAGATCAACAAGTAGATATCGCGACCTTAAATATGACGGGAAAGGCAGAGGTATGGGCGATGAATTACTTGGTTGATAAGAGTGGAGTTGATTGGCATGAATTTGAGATTGATATAGCTGCAAGATTTAGAGATGATTCTGAAAAAGATGTGGTGGAAAGATTTAACAGGTGCCAACAAAAGAATTCTATTGATGATTATGTCGATGAATTTGAGGAACTTAAGAGCATCATTAAGACAACTCATCCGTTGCCAGAGAAGTATTTCTTGGACTGCTTTATTGGAGGATTAAAAGCTTCTTTGAAAGCTTTTGTCAGGATTCTTAAACCTTCTACTATGGCTGAGGCAATTGATTTTGCTACATCGCAGGATGAGACGTTAGCTGCTACTTCTAAAGGCAGTAATACTTTGCAGAAAATCACTCCTAATCCGGTAAGTACTAGTCACAAACCTTTTTCTTCAAAGGCTGCATTATCAAATGATCATAGCAGTACTGCAAGTAGCTCGAGAACATATATACCTGCATCTGTGAGAGCTGAAAAGTTGGCAAAAGGGTTGTGTTATTACTGTGACCAACCTTATGATAGAAATCATAAGTGTCCGTTCAAAAAGACTCAGTTGTTTACTGTGGAAGTACAAGGATGGGAAGATGAGGAAGAAACTGAAGAGGAATGTAAACTGAAAGTAGAAGGTGAGCAGTTGTTATTACATGATCCTTGTATTTCTATAAATGCTCTATCTGGTTGTACAGGATTTCAAACAATGAGAGTGGTAGGTTATTTTGGGAAAAAGCCACTACATATCCTTATTGATTCAGGAAGCACTCATAACTTTATGGATATGAAGGTAGCTCAGAAATGTGGACTTCCAATTGAACACATGAGATTACAGACAGTGACAATAGCCAATGGAAATCATTTAAATTGTCAGGACATCTGCAGGGATTTCTCTTGGACAATGATGCAGCAAGAATTCAAAACTGATGTGCTTTTAATACCTTTGGGGGGATGTGATATGGTATTAGGAGTACAATGGTTATGTGAGCTAGGACCAGTCCAATGGGACTTTAAGCAATTGATGATGAAGTTTCAATGGCAGGGCAAATCAATTATACTTCATGGAGCTCCAATGTCTCAATTAAAATCTTTTGTCTAAGCAAAATTCTGAGAAATTTTTAGAGCAGGCCTCTCAACTTTTCTTCATACAGTTGGTATCTGATGAGAAGGATGAGTCAGACACAACTTGCAATGCAGTGGATATGACAGAAGATCCATATTCAGAGGAGTTGCAGAAATTGTTAAAACAGTTTCAGGATATCTTTGAAGAGCCTAAGTCCTTACCTCCATCAAGAGGCATCTATGATCACAAAATTCCATTGGAACAGGGTACTAATCCAGTTAATATCAGGCCCTATAGATATTCTCTAAATCAAAGAGATATCATAGAAGGATTGGTGAAAGAAATGAATGCAAATGGAATAATTCAGAAAAGCTGTAGTCCATTTGCTTCTCCTGTGGTTTTAATTGGTAAGAAGGATGGTACATGGCGTCTATGTGTGGACTACAGAGAGTTAAACAAGAAAACTATCAAGAACAAATTTCCTATACCTATTATTGATGAACTAATTGATGAACTTGCTGGCTCTACTGTTTTAGCAAGTTAGACCTCAGGGCTGGGTACCATCAATTGAGGATGAATAAGGAGGATGTTCACAAGACAGCATTCAAAACTCATGAAGGCCACAATGAGTTTTTAGTTATGTCTTTTGGTTTGACAAACGCACCAGCTTCTTTTCAAAATTGGATGAATGAGGTATTCAAACCTTTGTTGAGAAAGTGTGTGCTAGTCTTTTTTGATGACATTCTTGTTTATAGCAGGAATTTTGAAGACCATTGGGGGCATTTACAGATGGTGTTTCAGATTATGAGGGAAAATCAGATGTATGCTAAAGCTTCTAAATGTGCCTTTGTTATGTCTAAGGTGGAATACTTAGGACATTTTATTTCAGGATCAGGAGTTGAGACAGATCCTAGAAAAATTGATGCAGTAGTTAAATGGCCTGTTCCTAAATCTATGAAGCAGCTGAGGATTTTTTTGGGACTAGCTGGTTATTACAGGAAATTTGTCAGGCTATATGGGGTTATAAGCAAGCCTCTCACAAATCTTTTGAAGAAGGAGCATTTCAGTGGAACAATGAGGCTCAAAAGGCATTTGAGGAGTTGAAAAGGGCACTCATTACTTTTCTCCAGTGCTGGCACTTCCAGACTTTTCTAAAACATTTTTGGTTGAAACGGATGCTTCAAATGAGGGTATAGGAGCAGTATTGATGCAAGAGAACCACCCCCTTGCCTATATCAGCAGATCACTAGGGGCCAAATGGCAAATACTGTCAGTTTATGAAAAAGAATTGCTAGCCATTGTATTTGCTGTACAAAAATGGGAGCAATATCTGAGCTCTCAACACTTTGTTATCAAAACAGATCAAAAGAGTCTTAAGTGGTTATTGGAACAAAAAGACTCTACTCCATTTCAACAGTTTTGGTTATCCAAATTAATGGGTTTTGATTATGAAATACAATACAGGAGGAAGGGAGAATGTGGTTGCTGATGCTTTATCAAGAGTTCAAGGGGCTGAATTATGTTGTTTAGCTATTTCGCTGGTGGATTCTGATTTAGAGCATTTGATTAAGGAAAGCTACAAAGGAGATGATCATTTAAATATCATTCTGCATTTGCTGCAGCAGAATCAAGTGGTGGACAAGTATTCTATGCAGAATGGTCTAATCAGAAGAAAGGGGAAGATTGTGATAGGTGATGACATTTCTCTGAAGCAAAAGATTTTGATGTGGCATCATGCTTCAGGTGAAGTTGGACATTCAGGCAGGGATGCAACAATAAGAAGAATTAAAACAATTTTCTATTGGAAAGGGCTTAATAAGGAGGTGAGCAATTTTATTAGAAATTGTGTAGTGTGTCAAACAAACAAACATGAGAATGTGGCTTACCCAGGGCTGTTACAACCTTTACCCATTCCAGAGGAAGTTTGGGTAGACATTTCTTTAGATTTCATTACAGGATTACCAAAATCTGGGGGGAAGGAGGTAATCTTGGTAGTAGTGGATAGATTGAGTAAAGCAGCTCATTTTGTGGCTTTGGCACATCCATTCACTGCAATAGAAGTGGCTCAGGCATACTTGGACAACATATTCAAATTGCATGGATGGCCTAAGAGTATAGTAAGTGACAGGGATGCTATATTCTTAAGTCAGTTTTGGAAGGGGTTGTTTTCTATTCAAGGCACTCAGTTTAAACTATCATCAACCTATCATCCACAAACTGATGGTCAAACTGAGATAGTGAATAAATGTTTGGAGTCTTATTTGAGGTGCATGTGTAGTGAAAGACCAAAGGAGTGGAGTTTTTGGCTTCCACTAGCAGGATGGTGGTTTAATACTCACTTTCAAACGTCAGCTGGTACTACTCCTTACGAGATCATGTACACTCAACCACCTCCTCTTCATCTTCCATATTTTCCTAGAGAGTCCAATGTGGAAGCTGTAGACAGGTCTATGCAAAGGAGGGAAGAAATGTTAAAAAGACTCAAAGAAAATTTGGTTAAAGCTCAATCTAGGATGAAACAGATGGCTCATAGAAGAAGAAGTGAAACAGAGTATTTGATAGGGGATTGGGTCTGGTTAAAGCTACAACATTATAGGCAACAATCTGTGCAACCAAGGAGTAATCAGAAGTTGGCTACAAGGTTTTTTGGACCATTTCAAATCAAAGAAGTTATTGGGAAGGTTGCTTATAAGCTCAAGCTACCAAGTGATTCTCAAATACATGATGTCTTTCATGTTTCACAACTTAAAAAATTCAGGGGGAAGTTACCTATTGCTGCCCATATTCCAGCATGGTTCAGTGGACAAAATGCAGAATTTGCACCTCAGCCTGAAAAGATCTTGGAAAGGAGAAGTGTCAAGTTTCAAGATAAGGTACAAGTGCAATTGTTCATTCAATGGAAGGGCTTTACTGTGGAAGAAGCAACTTGGGAATCAACCGATCATTTCAGAGAGCAATATCCTAAGTTTGATGTGAGCAGAAATACAACATGACTTGAGGACAAGTCAATTGTTCTACGGAGGGAGGATTGTAACGGGTAGTCTTAGCTACCGTTATGTGTTGTTAGTCTGTTAGTTAATACAACTGTTAGTTGGTTGTTATATCTGTAAAAACTAACTGAACTGTACATGTATAAAAGAAGGTGATATCATCAATAAAATCAGTTTTTGCTTGTCGTTCATTTCCGATCATCCCTTACCTTTCCTTCAGCCATTTTCATGGCGTACTTTGCTTACCTAAGCCACTACCATTAACAGTCGAGTTAGGCTCCTGTTACATTCCCATTATAATCGATGCAATATAATATGAGTAACCAACAAATCTGAATCAAATTTCCTATTCATAATTGGATGAGTTAGACTCCAACTTTATATTCGTCTCTCTAATTTGAGAAGGCAAAAACATGTTCTTGTGTATGAATGAATGAATCTGGGAACTTGTTTCCAAAAAGACAAGCTGATAAGGACGTTATAGACCAAGTAGAACCCCAAAGTAACCTAGAGGGAGACCCTTTACAAGTTCAAGACAGACCATTGACAAGAGCTTGTGCTAGGCATTTTCAAGAGGCCATTTGTGCCTGGATATAAGAGTCTCAAGGGAGTGAGACTTTTCCCACACCAAAGGGCGTTGAAGCAGGAGTGTTGGTACACTTAAAATGAGCATTAAATTTGATCCAAGCAATGCAAACTCCCAAGCTGTCGCAGTGAAGCTTAAAATGTTCGAATTGGTAATTTCAGCATGCACAGCTAATTTTGGAGCAATGGAATAGCATATTCCAGAATTTATTATTATTATTTTCTGTCTGAAGTCCATTGGACCGAGATATAGGATAGAGTTTAAAATAAAAAAGGAACTTAGCCACAAAAGTTCATCCTCCGCTTTTGTTGCTAAAGCCTATTTTAGTGGGAAATGGGGGTTATTTGCTCACCCACGTTTCCACTTTTCCTTTCCATGATTTTAGATAGTTACTTTAGACAGATCAAGTAGTATTAATATTGCAGCAGCATGTAAAAAAACGGCAGTGCAATCTTCCAGAAAATGAAAGCATTCTTGTTTTCAAAATCTCATGTGTTATATCGAGTTCAATTGAGTTGTGTGATTTATCAATTTGATTGTGGCGTCCATAGCTCCGTTCTCTTATCTTTCAATCCTAGAAAGTGGCGAGAACTCATACTTCCCTTCCCTTTCGTTTTCTGAAACTAACGAAAACACCATTTTCAATCTTTCTTTTGTGAGGAGTCTTGGGCATACTTTCTGTTTGTAATCCACACCCAAAGAACAGTCCGTTGAGGGTGGAATTCGTATCACAAACAGTGGACTTGAATAGTGTGCACACCACAACAGAATGATCACCTAGTGTACAAACACAGCTAGCATGAATTTGTCACTGATCACATTTTAAACCGAAATGTTCCTCAAGTATGTGCTTTGAAGTTCTTCCAAATCCCATTTCCACTTGTTTCATATCCCTGAGTTTCAAAGCTTCCCGTTTCACCAACTCTATCCTCTCATGAAGTGCATTGAGCAGTGGCTCCAAGTCGGTGAATGTTGAGTGGTGCAAGAGTTGAGACCTCTTCTTGTCTATTTGTTCATATAGATTTATAATGCAGTTCCTTTGTGCAAAGAGCCTTTCCTCAGCAATGTTGTACTCCAACTCCTGTGACTTCCTCAATGACTGTAGAGTTTGATCAATCTCATTATCAAGTTGAAGTGATTCAACTCGGTGGTCAAAATTTGAAGACACCATTCCGGATGGTGCAGTTCTGTTGTTTTCTTGCTCTTTGTCTTCATAGTTGGCTAACTCATGTAAACTGTTCCCATTGTTATGAGGTAAACTCTCTTGCATCAACAAGGAAACTAGTACAAAACCATGCATCAAAGAAAGAAAAACATTATAAAAATGTTGATATGACATTATAGTAAACTCATAGCAACTCATGCCATCACATTGTAGCAAAGTTTGGGAATGTGTGAATTTCAGGCCCTAGGGAAGAGTAAATGATACCTGAAACATATTTATACATATTAATCAATTTACTAATCTTTACAGCCATACCATCCTTACTAGATGCTTGTGACAATTTAGCAAGCAATACTATCCTTACTTTGTCTTATTACAGCAATTAGACATACCAGAACTCCACATATATACTTGTGACAGTTCATTTAAGGGAAATTACCCTAAACATGACTAAAAACGTTCCTATATTCCAAAATAGGACTATCATGTTTTTATTCCCAAAATAGGACTAATTACTGTCATGTTTTGGCAGTACCAGACTTTAAACATGGTAGTATTTTCCAAACTTAGCAGTAATAAAACTTTTTTACTCCTATTTCGGGAATTTTCCCTTCATATAATGAAAAATTTTGGGACAACAATAAAAATTACTCCCCTCCAGGCTCAAACCCAATTTAATTGACTTATTACAAAATAACATTTATGAATATTACAAAATAACATTTATATCCCTATAGAAGTTTTAAATTAAATGCTTTACATATCTTTTCAAGGAAAAATAACATTTAAATATTTAATATGGGAAAAGTCAATAGGGAAAATTCGGGACATTAATACAAAATATGCATTGAATTCCTAAAATGGAAAATCAAGCTAATATGACAAATAATTTGGAACAAGAGAGTACTTTTCTTTCTCCATCACTTGTGCATTCATTCACACAACAATATTACAAGTTTTATTTGAAAAAAATTTAAATAAGATAAAGCAACACCAAAAAGCATCTAAAAACAGGTTGGTAAAAATTACCAGTCACTTCATATGCTTCCTTACTCCACACATCTTTGAAGTCAAATCCGATCTTAAGCTGGTTACAATATCATATATAAAGATTATTCATAGCCCTTAAAAGCAGCAAATGTAAGTTCCAAAGCACAAACTAACATTGATTTAATTTCCACTGAGCTATACCTTCGCTGCTGCTGATTCAATATGTTTTAATAATTGCTTTGCAGTCATTTTCTGTGAGCCACGCAACATACAAATGGCAAGGCTCAACATCTTATCGATCTCATCCTGTGAATCACTGGTTTCACAAGTATGAAGAAGATTCATGACATGCAAAACTAGATCCGTCTTTGAATCACAGCGTCGACAAAAATATTCTGCATCCAGGCCTATGCTTCCTCCTACAGTTCCAGCCACATAAGCCCTAAGAGCACATTCTATGTGGGCAATGTGTCCACAAATATAGCCATCTTGGACGTTCTTTTTACACCTAATGTAACTATAACCACCAACTCCAGTGCTGATAGTCTTGCAACAAAGAATACAGCAACATTCTCGGCAAAATCTGGATTCACTGCAGCAAATGTCACAAAACATGCATTCCATTGGAAGAGGATCAGAACCTTTTAATAAACTGCTGCACATTATGTTACCGGCCTTGCAACCATCACGTTCTAAATGAGACATAGGCCCTGCAATTTCTGTTCTTCAACACAGAAAGAAACAAACTCCTTAATCCTGATCATACATCTAAACTACACCAAATAGCTAGCTAGTAAATAAAGTACAGAATTCAAAATTGACGTATAAAGGTAAACATCTTCTGAAAACTTCTTCCAGTCAAACTCATAGCCAAATAGTCTCATAGGTAATAATAAAAAAGTCTAATAAATGAATTATATCTTCCTAAGAGAATATATAAAAAATTAAATTGATTAAATATTTATAAAAACATTCATTAAATCTTGGAAGTAGATATCATAAAAATGTTCAGAAACAACCACGAAAATTATGCTATACTTATGCTATAAACCTCGGCACTCCTGGTCCAATCTTGTGATATAGACACAACATTGTGTCAATTTAACTTTTAACTTTTGATATTGATAAAAGCAAAAATACTACCTCCCACCCAGAAAAAAAGTCACAAGGGTTTCTACAATTCTACCAACAAGATGTTATGGTAAAGTTGACTATAAGTCCTTGTCAAGAGCCATGCATTGACGTATAGTGGGGAAAGAGGATGAGGTCATTATATATTCAAGAAGCCTCAATGCTCTAATAGTCTAATGTCCTTCTTAACACCTCAATTCATGTTGTGTTCAGTCTCCCTCAGCTTCCTTTTAACTTCTTTATAAATATACATTGTTCTAATAATCCACTCTCTATTTTTTTATAATCCACTCTATATTAGCACTTACCTCTTGACAATAGAGATGGTTATACTAGCAAAAACAATGCTTCCATTGAATAGTTTCAAACCTTATTATCATACTTTAAGTAAGTGTTTATATAAGGATAAATTGTTGCATCTTCTCAATATCCCTTGAAAAATAATGATTTATTGTCATTTAGTGTGAGTTAACCTCTATTGCTGGATCAATTGGCTATTTGGGTATGTGATTAGAAAATGTGCTATGGTTTGAAAACAATGTGTTATGAAAACATTCTTTTTGGTTTGAAAATCCATCATTTCAAAAACGTGTTTTGATCGACTGTTTGGTAGTAAATTAGCTTCACATGTGGTGATCGGATTCAAAATTAACAAAGCACAGAACACTCAAATCAAGAAGCTTCAATTAGTGAAATATACTACCTCCGTCCCATAAAATAAGTCCCACTTCAATTTGGATCGGAGTTTAAGAAAGTGGGAATAAAGTGGAAATGTATGGTTGTGGTTGAGTAAGAAAAAGGTTAATGAATGTTAGCCACATAAAACTTTCCAAAAAGGGAAATGGGAACAATATTTTGGGACGGCCCAAAAAGGAAAGTGGGACTTATTTTATGGGATGGAGGGAGTATGATTTTAGCGTTTGAGTTCTAGAATTGCTGTGAATCCTGTCAAACATTTAGCCTGTGATCAGCTTACTTTAAATAACATTTTGGGAGCCAAAACAGTTAGACAAACACCGACACAGTATTACAAGGGTATCTGAATTACTGTTCTGAGTAGATTGAAATAGTTTTTAGCTCAAATAAGAAGCCTCCTATTATCTACCAGGATTATGCACCCCAAATGACAACATACTTCTTCAAATTCTTAACTGGAAATACAGCATGTTGCTTTGAATCTTTAAAGTAAAGTAGACATATCCAACTACAGGTAACTCACTTGACATTCTAACAAAACATTAAACCACTAATATAATCCAAACTGCTATACAATTTTAAAAAATTAGTCCTTAAACACTAACCTTTTAACATAAGCTGCTTTGAGGGAATCTTCCAACAAAATGTGGCAAAGAATGCATTCACATCTGTGCCAGGAAACATTGCCCGGATAAATTGTGCAACTGACAGTTTACTAGCAAAGGTCCTCCTCTGTACAGGTCTCCCAACATGTGCAAGGCTGCTTGGTGGATACAGGTACCTGTCCGCAAAGTATCCTGACGATGCTATTCTTTTCCCCGCCTTCCAACGCCATATATCACCAGGATTAGGCCAATTTTCAGGAGCATATGGAAAGCCTTCACCTGATTCATTGGGAGACACAGGATACAGATAATGTCCATTTTCCTTATTTAGATGTGTATTTCTGTTACTGGCACCTGGTTTGTCGATATCCATGGACTCATTCATAGCTAAGATGCAGCAGAAATGTTCAGCTGTATGCAAATATACAAAGAGATTGATTTTAGGAAGAAACATGGTGCTAATATTTGAAATGAATTTGTCCACAGGATAGCAGTCGGGTGTGTCCCTTAGACCAGTAAGATTCACTTATAGACCACACACAAGCATATAAGTAAAAACTGTTGAAATGTAGAAAAGAACTGTTGGGAAAAAGTAAAGAAACTGTTGAAAAATGAAGTACAGAAATATAGTATCCCTGAATTTTGAAACAAGTCTTCCTGCACAGTGCACACACAGGAACTCCTGTGGCGACCCAACTCTGTTTGGTGTATCTGGCCATGGTTTGAAAAAACCAAAAACAACATCTTGCTCAGAATGATGTAGTGAAACAACACTATAAGATCCACCATTATCCACCGCCACAAGTGAGGTCCATTCATTTCACCACAAGCAAAATGGAATCACCTTTTTGGCAACACTGACCGGCTGTTTACCAGAGGAAAGGGAGTGAAGAAAACAGGAAAACAACTTTCATGATATATGGTTCAAGCTTTCAAAGGTTTCTAGTAAAGTTAGTGAAAGTAAAGGTTCAAGTTCATGTTAAATATGCTTGCATGGGCACCAAACGTTCAAGTTAGAATTCAACTTTGAAGTTGTTCCAGTCAATTTCAAGTAGAACACTTAAAAATGCGTGGGTGGGGGGTTGAGATATAGAAATTATTAAAATATAAGGAGTAGAAGTACATATATATATATGTGTGTGTGTGTGTGTGTGTGTGTAATAGAAATACTAGTTTTAGAAACATTTTAGTATCATTGTCATTTTAAACCCATTGTTTTTTCGAAATCCAATATACAGTTAAAAAAATGCAGTAGCCTTTAACATTAATTAATATGTAAGTTGAAAATCATACCAATAAATGTAAACTAGATATTCAATGACAGATGCCTATGTAATAACAAATGTATCTCAAATAAAAGTATAGATATTCTACCACAGAGGCAGGACAATATATCATCATATAAAAAATTTAACATGAAAAAAATGAGGGGCTACAATTTTACTTGGTACAAGGTTTCATGTTTTACCAACCTTCTCTAAACTGAAGACTTTAACTTGGACAGAATGAACCCACTGTTTTAGCATTAACTTAGAAATTTTGGATGGTCAACGACAGCTTATAGGGTAATTGGTCCCCACCCTTGTTCATATTCTCTTCACCTTTATCTTCAAAGAGCATAATGACCATTAATCCCAAAAAAAGGCCACAGATGGTGGCCATAAGCCATCCAGATTGAAAAGAGATTAATGGTTACCTTCATCATCAAGTAAGATATTTGACAGAGAAAGTACAGATAAATGACTGAAACACCCTCCAAGTAGCTTAATGAATGATGGCCAGCAAGTATGTTATTTTTTCTAATGGCATTGCTGAAATTTCTTAGGATTAATAGTCACAAAGAATTTCCAGAATTGCTGCTCCAACGTAAACTTAAATATATTAATATAGCGTCAGAATAGCCCTATGAATTTGAAACAGCAGAACTTCTTAACTTTGAATTTAACGAAACCAGATATAATGATTTGGCGTATTTAGTGGACCACTGATTCAAGATGCTAACGGATAACACAAATATATGGATCTTCTAAAAGAACCAAATGCAAAAAGGTATCTAATGTCTAACCCCCTATCAAAATACTCATATTGTAATTACATAAATTCAGAAAGGTTCAAGCTTTCAGGCTTATTTTATTCTCATGCTAGGATACCTTAAACTAAAAATCCAATCCACTGAACCATTAATCCATAACTGTTAACTAATAAGAATTACTCACGTATATGCTTGTATGAAAGAACTCAACTATTGTATTAAAGGTTGATTTCAGAGAAATAAATTAGAACCATGTCTCACTAGTAGCCCTATCATTCATGGCACTCTATTCAGAATAATCAGTTACATAGCCTGCTTGAACGAATGAACCAAGCATAATCAACTAAATATAATATGTTTTTCCCTTTGCTACTAAAAAAATAATGCTTTGCCTCTTCACCCTCATAATCCCCTTAGTCCCACCCAACTATGTTGAAGTCGGTGACATAATAGTGTCAATCATGGTAGCGAGATAGCGATCCGGATCGTATGACCTACGGTCTAAGAATTTGAAAATGATCATGATCACTAGAGGATTGCTTTAGGAATGGTACTTGAGTAAGGCCGTATTGAGACCACTCCAAAGTCGTCATGACCGAAACACTTGACAGAAAAAATGAAGAAACACAGATTAAGGTATCTAAATGCCATTACCTATCCTTAATGAGTCCTTAAAAGGAGTAATTGAGAACTAAGATGGATAAATAAGAATAAAATGGAACAAGGCACTATATTAATTGATAAAACAGCACATGTGAAATAAAAAAATCCACCAAAGTGTAACTTATTGGGAGTCGTGGGAGTGTTAACATGTGAGGACAAGTCTACGACCATTGATCTTTATGATATACTAGAAATTACTCCCCTTTTCCAAAATAGCTTCTCAAATTCTTATTTCAACAATATGGATGATAAGTAGGTCCTTACTGCCCTTAGTCCTATTCAAGAATATGACCCATCGCCCCGGACATCCAAAGTAGAATCTTGACGCAAATTTTTTTGGCTTCAACTCATTGTGAGAATTTAGCTTTAGTTGAAACTTAAACATCTCTTACCCAACTTTTTTCTAAAATTCTTCTACCTTAAGAATATAGGAGTTAATACTACCTAGTTTGAATTTCATTTAGTTTTCGTGTCCACATTCAATATCACCTATAAACACAAAAAAGTAAGCAGGCAAGCATCACAAGTCAAAACTAAGGGTACCATTCCTAGCCATTTTCAAGCCACAACAACTTAGGCTAAAGTAGTCTAAACTCTAAACCCGCAATAGTGCACACAAACAAAGAAATGTGTGTGCATGTACGATACAGAGAGGTTTAAGTGAGACGAGGTGTGTGGACGTACACTGCAAAGAGAAAGAGAGTAGCAGTTGGAAGGTGAAAATCCCGATTTAGAAACCCTACGCCACCGAGAGAGTCGCATGCGGCGGCTCAAATGGCCTACTGGCGATTTCTTACGGCCAAATTTCTGAAATAAAATTATGCTAATTGCATTGATAACCATAGAATTTCAAGGTTCGGCATTGCTGCAATGCTGCTTGTAGTCCAAGTTGCCGTTGGTATTAAAATTCTGTAGCATCAGACCTGACAATCGAGGACCTGCCAAAACTCGCGGGCCGAGCCTTTTAAACTAATTTATCCGTGGTTGGGGTCCAAATTTTATGATCCAATTAATTTGTGGGTTTCGCTAAGAAAGAATGGAATGGAAGTTACGGAGTACATTCTCATCTTTTGTTGGACCAAAATATAACCAGTTTTAAAAAAGACAGAAAAGTGATTTTCTTTACTCTCCTTGCCTTCTTCCGCTTTGAACTCTCGCTGCTCATTCTTCCCTTTCAACTATTCGAACCAGTCACTGCACTCTCTCTGCGTCTTCATCAGTGAACCACCACCACCGCCTGAGCTCCGACATGAGTTGCAACCACCATCTCCGCCGCAATTGGACGTCGCTGACGGTAGCATTTGCACCTCCGCCCTGACCTTCCTCTAGCTTCTCTGGTTTCGTAGCTAGCCGCGCCTCCGGTGTACGACGGCTTCGATCTGAGGCCGCCGGTTCCAGATCCATCTTTCTCAAAGGGCGACGACTCCGATTTGGGACGCCGGTGTCGGATCCATCATACTCCATTGACAATGGCTCTGATTTTGGGTCCGATTTGGGGAACGATTTGGGGACCGCCACTGCAGGTGGGGTCTGATTTGGGGTCACCGCTGCTGTTGGGGTCCGATTTGGGGCCGCCGCTACCGCCGGTGGTGTTATGGTTGAGGTTTTGTGCGAAATGGCCGGAGAAGGACATGGGGGGAGGACAGGAGCGGGGATGGGGAGCAGGGGAGGAGGGCTAGGGACAGGGGAGTAGGGTTGTGGGTTGGATGTTGGGGGTGAGGGCGGGGTGGCTGGATGTTGGGGGTGAGGGCGGGTGGCTGGTGGTGCTGCCTGGCGGTGATGACCGGGGATGGCTCTGTCACTGTGACGCTGGCGACATTGATGGGAGGGGAATGGGCGGTGTGGATTGGCCATGTCGATGGTATGGCGATGTCGGCGGGGGTGTCACTAGGCAGTGGCGGTGTCACTGTGGCGGCGTCACTATGGCGGCATCACTATGCCAGCGTCACTACGTCGTTGTCACTATGGCCGGCGGCGATCTCCGGCCAGCGACGGTTACAGGTCGGAGGTAGTGGACGTTGACCCTTATTACTAATATTCAGGGCAAAAGCCCTTTCGCTAAAGTAGGTTTCGGGTCAACCACGCAGGTTGCGGGTTAAGTGGGTTGACCCACAGGGGTTGCGGATTGATTCGCGGGGTCAAAATACAAAATACATAGTTTTGACTTTTGTTATATTGAGAGCCCGTTTGGTAACACGAAAATCGACTGATACGACTGATTCTGTTGAAATTTATGAAGTTCTGGCTGAAGTGGCTGCATTGGCTGATTATGCTGATTTAAGAAAAAAATATTTTTAAAATATATTTTAATAAAGAAAAAATTATTTGTAAAATAGCTCAAATGGTCGTCTACGGAAACTTCAATCAATAGAGCTAGAAAAGTAACTTCAATCTTACATTTTCTTATTACTACCTCCGTCCCTTAAAACTTTGCCAAAGTTGACCGACACGGAGAATAATAAAGTAAAAACTGTGTGGTTGAGGTTTGCGTAGAGGAGAGAGAAATAACATAAATCACAAAATAATTGATTAAAAGTGAAAGTGGCAATTTTTTTGGGACGTCCCAAAATGGAAAGATGACAAAGTTTTAAGGGACGGAGGGAGTATTACACAATTCAACGTGTGAAAACTAAAGTTACGTGTTTTGTGAAAAAGTTGGTTGATAATCCTGATAAGCCGAAAAACAGTGTTACCAAACGGCCTCTGAGTATTATTCCTTTACTACCAAAATTATTATTATTAGAATTATATCATTATCATTTTACAACCACTGGAAAATAATTATTATATCTACAATAACTATTCAAAAAATGTTCAAACATATATTTTAGATAAAGTTAAACATAATTTTTAGCAATTAATAGTCGTGATTTTCAAATAATCACTTAAAAGGTTTAAGCTGCTCTTTTTATTTATGAAATGCGTGTTTTTTTAGAAACCCTCTTATAGTTTTCAATTTCTGATATACCTAATACCAACTATTAACACTCCATATTATTTAATTAAACTTAACAAGTATTGGGTGTTAGTATTTTGATTTCTTATATTTCTTTTATTACAACTTACCAATATAAATATATAAAAAAAATTCAAGTATAATTTATTTAAAGAACTTGTCATTTATATTTAAAGATTTTGTCATGTATATTGTATTACAATTTACATTGACCCGCGGGCCGGGCAGTTTAACCCACGGGTTAGGTGAGTCGAAGGTCGCAGTTGTAGAAATTCTGACTCATCAGTAAACGGGTTGACCCAACCCACATAAAGCATAATCCGTCACGGGTCGGGTCGGGTCAGATTGGCCCGTTTGAAAGCTCTAGATATCCATGAAGATCAGGTTAGCCCAACTCTGGCTCAACATTAGTGTTAATTTAATAATTAAATAATGTGATTCTGTATGCGGAATTCTATATCAAAATATTACTATACAAAATGAAATTTCTAATAGTAAAAATGGTGTACGCAACATGAGCCGGCTCCTAGGGAAACCTAGACGGCGAGTTCCTGAACGATCTAATCTTCCGACTTCTTCTCTCAGATTGACGAGGTTTTTGATAATTGCGATGTTCTACAGACAGTAATGAATCCAAGGTTTTGCTATGTTGTCTCTCTCTTTTATTTCTATCTTCTATGATTGTGGTTTTGACCCGACATCTTTTTTGGATGAGAGCTACGTCCGCTTCTGGTGACGTAACCGATCGAGTTGTTCATTATTCATGGTTGACAAGACGGGTTCAACCTAGTATTTCTAAAACTTCAATTATTCGTCCTCCTCCTGAACATTCACCTCACTCGAAGAAAAGATAGCGCTCAACTGGATCTCCTATTCGGTGGCTGGTCAAACTGATGATCCGGAATATTTCTGCTCAATTGAGTTTCCTTTGTTGGTTGCTGGACAAACCAATTCTTCCTTTCCGGTGGCTGGTGAAGCCGGATCTTTTAGTTATATTTTTTTATTTTCTCTTTGGAGTAGCAAGAAGAGCAGCAAGATTGTTAGACTAGGCTACATTATTGCGGGGTTAGTGATCTGGAATTGAATGATTCATTAATTAGATCTTTTTCGTTCTATGTCTCATCCCGTTGTAACCTTAGGCTATTCGTTCTCTTGTATTTTTGCTATCTTTTAATAATAAATTAATTAATTATTTTTAAAAAAACGGTGTAAATTATAAAAATAGATATTTACTTTATTTTCTAAATAGGTGTTTTAACATGTTGACCTTATCAATCATTAATATCGGAAGATTAGTGACATTATTATTTTAAGCGTGACAATAATTACTCAAGAAAACATTGTACTCAAATATCCCCACAATCTTAAATATAGTTCGTGATGGATCCAAATGATATGAATATTTGAATAGCGGGGATTGAGTTGGCCTCTCTACCTTTTAAAAAGTGAAATCAAGTCAAATTTTTGTCAATTATATCTTCCCTCATCACACACTTCGGTTTGTACATTTGCCAATTCAAATGTTGAACTCACATCCTGCTCATTTGGGGACACGTGGACCGATTTTATACATTTGTGATATGCAATACCCAAAATACCCCTAAATGAGGCTCACTATATAAAGCGGGACATCCTGAGTGTCCCTGAAAGATAGATGAATATCAATTTGCAACCTGAAAGATAAAATGTATCAATGTAGGTCCAAAATGATTGAAAATCATCAATCTAGAACCTAAGTTGTCGTGAACTTTATAATTTTTTTATTTAAATTTTTTAAATGTTATTTAATTTTACGTAAACTTTTGCGAAGAAAAATTCATCAAAAGTTACCCTTTTAATAATTGAAAAATTAAATAAATTTAAACCTATGGAACTTTAGGTCTTGGATTTAATAGTTTTTAACCACCCACACTTCATCTTTCAGGTATGAGATTGATAATTTATCTATCTCAGCTCTCAAGTCCTAGATAGATAAAAATTCCGTGTAAAAAAAACATGTGGCATACTAAGAATTTCTTCTATGATAAACATAACATTGGAATAAAGCATGTTTAAATTTGATGTATATTTGAACAATATTTGTACTATTCATTTTAGCAAAATTTCTCAATAATATTTCCCCCGAATCCACCATTAATGTTGTGTCATGGGATGATTTCTTATTTTACGGGAATAGTTAACATGTAAGGCAAAATAACGGTGGTTTGTTTAGGATTTATAAGAAAGGGGGATTCAGAAAGGGAATTCCCGACACGGCCGGTCATGTATGTTTGAAAGCCTAAGGGTGAAAATTTAAAAAAATTAATGGGCCTAATTTTCAAAAAAAATGTAAATCCGTTTTCTACATAAATTGTTTCAATATATTATAGTTTTAGTGGTTCTTATTTAGGAAGGAAAAATGGTGATCATATTTGTGTACGTTATCGATGGTTTATTCCTATTTAAGGAATTAACTCTATTATTATCAACTCCTAAATTCCTCTCTCCATGATGTAATCATTCTGAATCGTGTTGTTTTCGGTAGCTAAATACTTCTTCATTTTTGAGTTCTCATCTTGAGGACGAAATTCAGAATTTTACTTTTTTACACAAACTTTTCCATTGAACATTTTGTACTTAGTGCCGCTTTTTCTAATCTTCTCCTCTTTTCTTCTTTATCCTATCCAAATTCATTCATTTTATTACACCTCAAAATTAATTAAATTTATGAATTTAATTATAAATAAAAAAATTAACAAATCATAAGACCTTTTTTTAGCCCAGTGCAAACCCTCCGAGGATGGGGTAAGGGCCGGGGAACACCCTACCTATTTATTAATAAGGAAAGATACATAGTAGGAGGGCATAAGACCGAGCCTACCAAGAAAAATGCTAGATTACATATGGGTAGCTAATAGCATCAAATTTGAGAATGTCTACAAAATGATTAAAGTGATTTTGTGACCTTTTTATTTAGATCTTATTGTAGGCAATGTAATCTGATGCTCTATTGACACTCGAGTCAATATATGAAAAGGTGAAGCGATGGCCGTTGTAGAGTCTTCGAATTAGGCAGATGTGTGTCCAATGGGTCCAATGATGTAAACTTGTTGGGTGTGTTTCGGAAAAAACGAGAAATATTAATTAAATAAAATTAATTAATAAATAAAATAGCTAAAAGAAAACAGAGAATAAGATGGAGCAGATTTTAGCCATAGCTCGTGCTACGCACGATGTCCTTAAAACGTATTCGTCGCCTCCCACGGTGCTAGGAGCGTTGCAACGACCGTTTCGCAGGATACGGTGGGTAACGAACGATCGTTTGAGCACACAAACGAAAGTCCCGGCGAACTGGAACAATAGCAGAACACTAGGGAAATTTGGGAGTAGCTGGAAGTGTTTTTAGCTCAAGAAAATGTGAGGATGTATTGTGCGATGTGTGTTGTTGCAAAACCACCTGCCAGCTATTTATAGGAGGATTTGTTGTGTGTTAAATGGGGTGTTCATGGACCTGAACGTTGGACATCAATGACCAGTCCGTTGGGCATTGAATCATCCATAAACTGTCCATTTAACGCTACATTAAAAGACAAGAACGTTGGGCATTTAATGGCTGTAACGGCTTGGAGCAGTTCTGGTGCGCGATCAGAATACCCCCATCAGAGTTGGAGCAACTCTGATGCTACCAGAATACCTCCACCAGAGTTGGAGCATCTCTGGTACGAAGCCACCAGAGTTCGAGCAACTATGGTCCTGGGAAAAATAAAACGTTACGGGAAGAAACAAAAATTAGACGGTATCGATAGGTTTTTGGACGACATTCGTGTCCGCAGGTCACCCCGCGCACACGAGTTGCGGTTTTTCTTCTCCGTTTCGGGATTTGATCGGCACCCCCCCCCCCCCCCTTGCGCGTAAGAGAGAGCCTTTACCTTTATGAATCTTAACTCCTTAAAAGAGGCTTCCCTTTATAAGGGGTGAAAATCTCTTGAGTTTTCCGGTGTGGGATAAAACACACTAGAAACCCATCATTTTCCCAGTTTTTCCATTTCAACGAGTAAACTTCGAGAATCAATTTCTCATTCACCCGTTATCCGTTTTGAGTGTACCACATATAGAATTGTAGCCCTTAACAAGGACAATCCGAAACCACTTTAACCCGACCCAAATCGGAAGTGGACCCCACTCAAATAATTGCCCCAAAATGACCATTTAATGCAATTTTTAACACATTTTTCCAACAAAACTCTCTCCACGTATAGCATTACAAACCTGTAGAT